GCACAAAGCGAATCCGTGAAAGCCAATTCATTGTCCTATCCGATTATCCCATTTTAATGTCCCTTCCACATTCTCCCAAACAAAATCCCAGGTCATTGCAAGGTCCAGAAATACAAAGCAATCATCAGTCATTGCGCGAGCGTCAGGTATCACAGTAGCCTGGCAGTCTATGGCACAATAGTAGTCGTAGCCTTCTCAGGATCTTCCCCGAAGTCCTCCTTGGGGTTGAGACCACGGTGAGCAGCAACCTCCTGGAGGTCCGCATCATGCTCAGCATCGAAGTTACGACCCAAACGCTCTGGTCCAGCAATTGTAATCAAGATAACATAGGCAAAGACACAGCCCATGAAGATGCAAATGACCTTGCCGTACTCGTAGCGGTGGGCGGCTTCTTCAGTAGGGGGCAACGGGAAGCGTTCACCGATGGTTGATTCAATAGTCGAGCTAGCGGAGGAGACCAAGTTGCCGAGCTGGTAGGCGGTGCCGACGGCGAAGGTGCGGATAGATCCTGGTGATAGCTCCATAAGATGGATAGGGATCACACCCCATGCGCCCTGGACCATGAACTGCTCGAAGTAGGCCGCAGCAATGACATTCTTGTTCTGGACAAATGTGTAGGGGTAGAGAAGGGCGCCGCCGATGATGGAGATGGCGATGATAGAGAACCGGCGGCCGAAGATCTGACTGGCCCAGCCGCATAATACACCACCTGATAAGGCGCCCAGGTTGGCGACAACTTGTGTCACGGTGACTGCGTTCTTTGAGAATTTGAACTGGTTCTCCAGCATTGTCGGGTAAAGATCCTGAGATCCGTGCGACTAATCTCCACGTTAGCTTCTTCTGTTACTCGAATAGCAAGTAATACATACCATGAAATTAAACCCAGACATAAGCAGAACAAGGTATATGAGTATCAACCAGTGTCGCTGTAGTGCGACCTTGCCTTCTGAGATGAACGATGCCGCAACACCTCCACGCAATTCCTGTCGCGCTTCCTGGCGCCGACGGAAAGTCTCAGTTTCACCAAGGAATAACCGGAAGATGATGATCAAGACTGGTGGACCAGCGGCAAACCAGAACAGCGGCCGCCAGCCTTCAGGGGTAGTATCGACTAGACCTCGAGCGAAAGCCGTGGCTAGCAGATATCCAAAAGCGTAACCTTGCTGCAAGAGTCCCGAGATAATACCGCGGGCTTCAGGCGGGCAATCCTCCAGCGCGGTGGCAGCCGCATTACCATACAAGCCACCCATGGCAATTCCAAACAAGGCGCGACAAGCCAGGAACTGTTTATAAGTCTGGCAGAAACCAGCACCAAGCTCAAGGACCACAAAGAGCAACTGGTTGACGATGAACGGCCATTTGCGGCCCCATCGATCGGAGGCGATTCCAAAGGTGATGGCGCCGACGGATCGCAGCATCAGCACCAGGGTGATTCCCCATGTGATGTCGGTAACGGATTTATCGAATGATTTCGCCAGTGCAGAGGCAGTAAGCGAGACGGTGAAGAAGTCAAACGAATCCCAAGACCAGCCAAGAAACGCGACCTGTGGGTTAGGCTGGTTAGTCAAGTCTTTCTCCTACCTGTTAGCCTTATGGGGAGGAGGACATACCGAGAAATTAAGCCACTGAGACCGGTTGAGCAGTGTAAGAGCCTTGAACGGATTTGGCGCCGGGTTCATGGGAGGCACTAGAGAGGAGATACGAGTGGCGATGTAGCGGCCAACACTCATATGCTCCTCGAAATCTGGCGAGGATGTCGCCGCATACTGAGGCTTTCCCTCATCCATGACTGCTAAGGATCTTGGAGCACCGATGAATCGGAGAGTAAAAGCCGGATCCTGGCACAAAGTCCGAATGAAGAGGGATAAGAGAGGTCACAAGTCAGAACCAGGGGGGTCCTGGGCCGCTCTAAATACGGCGGGGAACCCTCCCCTCCCCTCTGCTCACCGAACTTAGCGGGCATCCCGAGGACCGAAAGGAATCAAACAAATGACCACCGACGTCTGCGGGCCCCCTGTACGTAGGCATGATACGTTATCTTATTCGCTTGCCACGCGGGTCAGCAACCTGGAATTCGGAGACGGGCACGAATGAGGGCAATCTAAGCCGATCATAGTACAATTACGGGGTATGACCCAGAAAACAAGAGTCCCCATGGGGAGAAGCTAGAAAAGTCTGCGATGCAAAATGACTGAATGGCATGATTTTTCTATATTGTACTGTGGATGCAGCTGGATGCCAGGCACTAAGCCCACAGTCTTTTCCGTGAATTCTTTAGTGGCATTCTTTGTCTTTTTTACTTCTAGACCTTTCTATAATTGTTTTTAGTAAACTTTTTAGTAAACTTTGTAAATCTCTTCTGGTACGTGCTTTGATTCGGATGACTACATCTACCAGTCACATAGGTACGAAAGTACGCTTACTTTGATGTTGTAGTGTGTCTTACCCAAGGCCATATCCCGGATTATCCACGCGGGGTGTGGAGTTGAAAAATGGAGGGGAAAAATGGGGAAATCCCCCCACAAAAATAGCTTTTCTCCTTGAACTTCCTTTCAAGCCACTGAAGCCAGGCCGGCCGTAGGTCGGTCTCGGGGTTTAATCGGCTGGTATACGTATTATCACGGTCTTATGTGCTAAATCAAGGTAAAATATACTGGACTCGTACTTTTTATGGCGAAAAAGAGACACTTACTACATAGCTGCTCGTGATATAGTGCTGCAATACGTCCCCCTACACTCTCATATTGTCCTTTCAACGATTCAGTCCAAGATTACTTGGCAGGGCTTCTCTGAAGTAAGACTTCGCCCAGGTCCATGGGTGGATAGTAGACTGCCAAGAATTACAGGGGACAATGCGTTGGCCACATGGTCGGCTTCTCCCCGAACATCCCAAGTACGGGGTACGGGGTACTCGATACGGAGTCTACAGAAGAGTGCCTTCACGGAGTACTTTGGGCATGGCAGTATCACACTCGGCATCGCGAACTGTCTAGACTTACTACTAGATCCGAGATCTCAGCCGGTTCTTGCCTATAGTGCCGATAAATGCCATGCTATTGGCGAGAAAGCTTTTTATCACCGCGCTCGGACTCGGATGCTTGGCTTACCCTGCATGTGAATAAATTGGGCTGAATCCTTCGCCTTTACTTGGCCAAGGTCCCCAGTTTTTTTTTTCGGAAATTATACTCCGTATACCCATACTCCGTAGGAATTTCCACTTCTCGGAAGTACACGCCTGAATGGGCAAGCCGTTGATAGATACGCCACTTCGCGGCGGTTGTCGATCTTTATTTTATTATAAACCGAGGCGGGGAAGTTTCACCGCAGATAACGTTCTTCGGTTTCCTCTTGTGTTAGACCTCGGGAGGCTCTTTGTGCGAGTAAGGAACCTTGGAAGGTTCCAAGGTTCAACGTTTCAACGTTGGCCTAGTAATTTAGTCCCGACTTGGTTCCATGGTAGCAAATTTGCTGTCTTACAGTGTACGATATGAAAGAAGTTCTTAAACAAGCAAGTAGGGAGACGCATCTCGATTCGTTAAATGCCCTCACCTCCATCTTAATGGGCATTCTCCTTGTCATCATCTTTTGGGAAACCGGAAACACCGACTATATGATATTGCTGGATTGGATTGTAACAGTTGCCCCGAAGAATTTGGATAGCTTGCACGGAAAGTAAGTTCTTAGGGCTAAAGATCACCGCCTTGGCCGTCAGTTTCACTCGTAAGCAGGTTGTTCTATCAGCCTTGTCTCGGAGATACTAGGTAGAGAACCCGTGGAATAGTTATTGAGGATTATATTTACAAAAATAGTCGGCTGGGTTTGCGGCCTCTTTCCTTAGTTGGCTCGATGGCTGTCCTTTTTCCTACATATATTCTCCCCCTTCTTGGGCTTTCTAGCTGGACGGCAGAAAAATATCAATTTGTGAGCTCGACTCTTCTATATATAACTAGCCTTTAATTATGGATGAAATATTGAGCCCAGTCTCAAACTTTTGAATGCGAAATCAGCCAGCCACTTGGGTTGGAACTATTCATAGGAAATAATACAGCTTATTACCATGAGGCCATAACAAAAACATCCGTTCTTGTTAAGACCCAGAGGGACCGTATCCCAGACTGACACTATGTTATCGAGCCTACCTTTTTTACTAGAACACCATAAGCATAGTTGGGCTTACAGCTCATGAATGACCCAGAAAGCCAGTTCAGATTCAAGAGCTCAAAACGCATTTTGGATTGGGATAGCATCAGTGGAAGTACTCATGTCCCTGTAATGGATGCTGAAGTTATAGTGCTGCAGCCTGCTCTATTAGAAGACCTGACCGAAATCTTCGGACTCACCAAGTACCATCGGCTTGATTGTACTCGGCAGGTCTAAGTACCTAGCTCCTCTCTATGCTGTTTGAAGACCAAGTTATTTGATTATTGTTTCAATATTAAGCCGATAATATCGCCGAACACTACGCAGTTAACACATCAAGGCAGTGCACTTTTTGATCAGCGTGGATGTCGTCGAGTTTGAAGGACATGATGAATGTATAAGTGAACTTGATATACTACTACCTGATCATTGCCACTCAAGTCTCTCTGATTTATAAATAGTATCTACCAAATCAGGGATGCTCCTTGGTTCCTTGCCTGTCAACTGCGGCCCGACAGTCTTGGCATTGACTGGCTTCCAGTGGCTTGGACATGTCAAATGCCAAATATTATGTAGGCCCACAATGAAATACTAGATCAAGACATACTCATTGGTTATCCAATTCAGCTGAAGAGAGGTTAAGCCACATTCTAAGATGACAAGGAAGCTGCGTCGATCTGAAACCCTCCTGAGGCGGTGCTCAACGCTCAGCCCCGCGAGCCCCGCCAATCCCGTGTATTTATTGTCAGGTCATTCCCAGATCTCACCTTCCTATCCAGTTCTCCTAAGTATAACCATACCTGTATATCATCCGACCAAACACCTACCTAAGAACCAATTCTTATTTCCTCGATATCAACATGTCGTACGGTGGACCCCCGCAGAATCAATACGGTGGTGCCGGTTACTATGACCAGCAAGGCCAAGGATACCCTCCTCAGCAGGGCTATTCCCATCAACCACAGCAAGGATATTACCCACCAGAGGTGAGTCTACACACGCGATATACCGTTGCACAGAACCGAGTCACACAGCGCTCAAACCCCCACTCTCCACTCGTACTCGTACTGCGGGCATACATAACTAACTTTCCGCGCTACAGGGCCAACAGGCTTACGGTCAGCCCCAGTACGGCCAACATTCAGGTCCTTATGATCAACAAGGCGGGCAGGGCTACCCTCCACAGCACCAGCAAGGCCAGTATCCTGCCCAAGGCAGTCCTGGATACGGTCAGCCTCCCCAGCAACAGCACTACCCGCAAAGTGGCGGCGGTGAGAGCTCCTCATACTACGGTGGCGCACCCCCGCACCAGGAAGGACAGCCCGGTGCTGTAGGACCGGAGGGAGAAAGGGGCCTCGGGTCGACACTGCTTGGCGGCGCGGCTGGCGGGTTCGTGGGCAATAAGCTTGGCCACGGCCTACTTGGTACTGCGGGCGGTGCTGTTTTGGGTGCTGTTGGTATGAATATGGCAACCAATAAGCTGTGAGTATTCTCCTTAGCATTATATTTTGTTTGTTGTCTTTTGGATCGAGACGAGACTGACTGTTGATACTCTGGTATAGTGAGAAGAAGCACAAGAAAGAGAAGAAAGACAAGAAGCATAAGAAGGATAAGAAGCACAAGCGGAAGAGCTCATCGAGCAGCTCTAGCTCCAGCTCGTCCTCTGACAGCGACTAATTGGTCTCTTTTTTTTTTGGGTCTGATTGGTCACCATGACTTGTTTTATCCTTTACATTTTGTATACCCTGTCTTGTTCTCTGCTGCTTTTTCCGTTCCGGTAGCATCCGGTTCGTTTTGGCTTCTCGTCTTGGGGACTGGAGAACCTGTATGCGTTACGTTTATCATATGCATTTGTATTCTCAATGAGATGACAGCTCATCAACAAAGTTGAATTATTGAATCAAGCGATTATGCCTTTATTGCTAAGATATCCGGGAATGCTTGTTAGCTGCATTTCTGCCCGACAGATAGCCCTTCGTTTCAGTTCGCAGAGCAGTTGAACATTGTAATGACTATGGCCATGAGTGGCATCCAGATCGTATGTTATTACATTGGTTAATATTTTGTTATTGAAAGTCGACGCACTTCAGCTTCGTCCTAGCCGGAAAACTCTTTGAAAAAAGCCTCTGGGTCGATGCTACTGTCCAGATCGAACGACAGCCGGGGGACTTCCTTTGGTGAATCCCACAGAAAGCGCCACTTTTGTGATATCGGATTCCAGTACCGTCGGGGTACAAGAGCAGACAGACGTCTCCATTGACGACGCATAAGCCTGACTGTAATTGTATGTGGCCGACCATTGGCATATTCGGCAAAAGTGGTACCTTTCTCAGGTCCCCTGGCCAGCAACCTGAAGAGCTCGCCACCAGACTCGGTCTGGAAAACCTGGGGCTTTGAATTTCTCCTTTTGACAGGCTCCCATGGCACAGTTCCCGATATGAGTCCCTCAAGCGTCTGGAGATCCTTCTCTGGCAATGGCGGAAGGAGACTGTTCAATGTGTTGTTGTACCATTGTCTCCGAATATTTTTCTTCCGACATTGCGCCAATTCTCTGCCCCAGCTGTCCTCCTTAGGGATTAGAGGTTGTAATTGTTTGATCAACGGCCTGATACGGACTGCTGTAATCACTGGGTTCTGCATTTGAGAGATTGCGAGGTTCTTCACGATAGCCGGGGGTTCCCAGCCATCACTGAAATCAACAGGTTGGGAGATTAGCTCTTTAAGAGCCATAGAGTCATTGGGGATTTGCGGCGTTAAAATTTTTGCCAGCAGCTCATGTCGGCGTCTCCCAGTGCGACCGTACGACAGTAACAACACCTTCTCGAGAGGACGTGAGTAGCCTTCATTTGCTCGCCGCAGAACCGACAACGCATTTCTTGCCGCATGAACCGCCTGAGGACCAGCCTTCGGGGAACGGGAGGAGACAGCACGATATCGGGAGATGATATGGTCTTTCATGTAGTTGCGAGCGATGGGGTCAGGTAGGTAGGTACATTCGCGCAGCGTGGCGCGAAATAAATGGCGCCATTGGTGTGGTTTTGAGAGATTTTGTACCCAATGCTGAGATTGTGGTCCGGCCATTAGGAATAGCTTATCTTATTGCAAGAAGTGCAAAGAAAAAGAACCCCAAAACGGAGGAACGCGAAATCCTTGGCGAAATGCGTGTCACGGGAACTCCGACGCGCCATTTTCGCCGTCTCTCCCCCAAACCCCGCGAACATTGCCTTGCCTTGCATTGAGCCTCATATCTTAATACTAGCTCAATTTTTGCTTGATACTTCGTTCGGTCGCTTTCTGGCTTTGAATGTTATTTGGTCTGGCCTACGGTTTCCCTTCAGAGGGTTAGCCACGCGCCTCTTTGAGCTCGCGTCATTCCAATCGGCATCCGGTATCTCTCCCCTTGCTATGTACTTTATCCCATCATTACCCGATTTGTAGGCTGATATTTCCTAAAAAGCCCAGCATGTCGTACTCACAGGGCAGTACAGGGTCGAATGGAATGGCCTACAACATGTTGAATGGTTCCCAATCCCTCTCCTCCACCCCTCGCGCAACTCCTCCGCCCCCGAAAGGATCTCAGATGTCCTCTTTCGGTTACTCCAACGGAATCTCACGAAGCTTTGGTGGATATGATGGAACCAACGAGTATGGTTCGGTAATGTCATACCAGGAGGAGTATAAACCACAGATTTACCGAGTTCGTGGTCTATATCCACACCCGCAGAGCATGCCACTGACGAGGCTCAAAAATAGGCTGTCTATTCTAATGTTGCTGTCTATGAAATGGAAGTGAATGGAGTTGCTGTGATGAAACGTCGGTCCGATTCTTGGTTGAACGCTACGCAAATTTTAAAAGTCGCTGGTGTTGTGAAAGCGAGACGAACGAAAACCCTCGAGAAAGAAATTGCGGCTGGTGAACACGAGAAAGTACAAGGCGGTTACGGAAAATACCAGGGGACGTGGGTCAACTACCAACGAGGCGTCGACCTCTGCAAAGAGTACCACGTTGAAGAAGCACTCCGGCCACTGCTCGAGTACGATATGAGCCCCGACGGCTCCGGAGCTCCTGCGCACGGATCAACGATAGATACACCCACAAAAGAGCAAGCAATGGCCGCGCAGCGCAAGCGCTTGTACAACGGCGGGGATAATCGCAGCGCGTCGCAGCCGCAGCAGGGAACCTTCTTCCAAAATATCTCGCGAACCGCCGCCACTGCTGTCAATGCCCTCAGCAAAGCGCGCTTCGACTCGCCCAGCTCTAATAGTCGTCGGCCCAGCATGGCGCGCAAGCCCTCACAGCAGATGAGCAGCCAGGAATCCGGGCTTGCATTCAGCAGCCAGCAGACCATGTACATGTCCGACAGCGGGTTTGGCAGCTTGCAAAATCGGTACCAGGTGCAAGATGACAACGAGGATCTTGCGGAACCTCCTCGAAAACGCATGCGCTCTACTTCACACCAAGGCCCCCCTATTGGTCTCACCCGAGAACCATCTAATCTATCTATGCTCGAACCTACACCCACAGAACCTAACGACTCATTCTATCAACATGTGGATCTTCCTCCCCCTCCTATTGATGATGGCTCGAAACGCGGCATTGAGTCCCTGGCGCCTGCTTCTACTCCCGAGAGATTCCAGAAGATGAAGCTCATTATGACATTGTTCCTTGATAAACGAACAAAAGACTTTACGAATCACCCGGCTTTGTTGGAGTTGACCGGGGATGATCTTGAGATTCCCCTTGATGAGTACCGAAACAATGCCCTACACTGGGCTGCGATGCTTGCCCGCATGCCACTGCTCAATGCTTTAGTAGCCAAGGGTGTCAGTATATCGCGAGTCAATGGTGCCGGAGAAACGGCCCTACAAAAGGCCGTGGGCACCAGGAACAACCTCGATTATCGAAGCTTCCCACGTTTGCTCCAGGTATTAGCCCCTACCATTGACATGGTCGATTACAGCGGACGTACCGTCCTGCACCATATCGCCATGATGGCTGCGACTGGTGGCGGCGGACATGTCTCCGCAAAGCATTACCTGGAAGCTCTTCTTGAGTTCACTGTACGACATGGCGGTATTGCCCCAAGTGCGAATGGAGATCATGCCACAAACGGGATCCCCGGCGGTGAAGTCATGTCTCTGGGACGGTTCATCTCTGAAATTGTCAACCTCCGCGATGATCAGGGCGATACGGCCCTCAATCTGGCAGGGCGTGCGCGCTCAGTCCTTGTCCCGCAACTCCTGGAAGTGGGCGCCGATCCTCATATTCCGAACCATACTGGCCTCCGCCCTGCAGATTACGGTGTTGGCGTTGACATGGTCGACGGAAACTCTCAATCTCAACAACCGGCTAATCGGAATGACACATTTATTGATCAATTGGCGAAATCGAAGAAAGAGATACTTGATGGTAAATATCTTCTCGCATTAATCTTCATCCTTACTAACCTGAAATACAGCGGCAATGTCCCAAATTAGCGCACTGGTCGAAGAAACACTTGGGGGAATTGACCGCGAGTTGGCTTCGAGCTTGACACAAAAACAAGAAACTTTCGATCACTGGCATACGAAGATCCGCGAGTCTGCGAAGGCTCGGCAGATCGAACAGAAACAACACGATGAGCTCAAACGCAGGAGTTCTGAGCGCGTAGAGCTAGACCGACGTATCAAGAATCTGGAGCGGTCATCTGAGGGGCTGTTGGTCACAGTGAACAATACACCAGGATTGGACGCGACCAAGACGGCTGTTATCGGTGATGCAGACCGAGATTCCGGTGTTGATGTCGCGACATTTGATGTCCTATTCCCTGAGGGTTTCGACCCAGCTTCCGGCTTCTCGGAACAGCAACTCTCCTTCCTGGCTACACTGCCAGCAACAGATCTGCTTAGGCGCCAGGCACAATGCTACAAAGAATTCAACGGAGAGATTCTAGCTGAAGTCGATTGTCTGAAAGCAAAGAACGCAGTTCTTGGCCAGAACTACCGTCGCATGGTGATGGCATGCACGGGCTGGACGGCGGAACAAGTAGATGACGCCGCGGAGGGCCTCACGCAATGCGTCAAGGAACTGAATGACAATCCCGTCCCCGAGGACGAAGCTATTGAGATTCTGATGCGGGATCGCGGGCAGGACTGGTAGTTAAATCTGATGTGTTGCATTATTCTCTGAGCGTTTGGGCGGCGTTGCTTCACTTGTCTACAAATACCCTGTTGGAATACATCCATGCCTGTTGGCACATGTCTTGTTATTTACGAGAAATGCAATTCTTGCACATTTATTCGTCTTGGCTGTGTGTACGTGTAGGCTAAATGTTGCAATATTAGCCGGTCGAGTTGGCTGCTAGGCTAGGTGGCTTGAGAAGCCCATGTTGGTTGCCGAGACATTTAGCCCATCCCCGCGTTTCACTTGCTTGCACTTTCGGATAAATAGCCTGCTGCGGATAAGTACTTATAGTCATGTGTAGCACTTCCCTATTCATCATTACAGGCATCGTTGTAGCTTTTAACAATTGCCATTACACTACGGAGTACGGAGTACTGAATCAACAATATGGCTACCAGCTTCCTTCACGTGAAGGGTGATATTATTGTTGACGGAAATGGAAAGGTGGTTGTGATGCGAGGAGCTGCTCTTGGAGGGTGGATGAAGTATGCAAATGATCGGATTGCCGTATCATTCCCCTGTCTTCAAACTGACATCCCATCTTAGTATGGAGAATTTCATCACAGGCTTCGCAGGCCACGAAGCCCAGCACCGCGCCGCCATGCGCCGAGTCCTAGGACAACAGAGATATGAATTCTTCTTCGACAAATGGCTAGAGTACTTCTTCACCGAAGCGGATGCCAAATTCTTCGCCGAGTTAGGGTTGAACTGTCTGCGTCTGCCTTTCAACTACCGCCACTTTGAAGACGATATGAATCCTCGGGTGCTAAAGGAATCAGGGTTCAAACATTTGGACCGAGTCGTCGATCTGGTCGGTGTTTCACATATTCATCTGCATGGGGGTAGTGACTAATCTCGATAGCCTTATAGTGCGCAGCCCACAGGATCTATACCATCCTGGATATGCACGCTGTCCCCGGTGGCCAGAACCCAGACTGGCATTCTGACAATCCTACCAGCTATGCTGCTTTCTGGGATTACAAAGACCACCAAGACCGGACTGTCTGGCTCTGGGAGCAGATTGCCGCCAGGTACAGAGATAATCCTTGGGTTGCTGGGTACAACCCGCTCAATGAACCTTGCGATCCTGAGCATGTACGACTACCCGCATTCTATGCTCGTGTTGAAAAGGCAATTCGCAATATCGATCCGAATCATATAATGTGGCTGGATGGTAATACGTTTGCGATGGAATGGAAGGGGTTTGACGAGGCGCTGCCGAACTGCGTGTATGCCATGCATGATTACTCAGTGAGCTTCACATTCCTTTCGAGGTCGTGAGACAAGAGCGTTCTTGTTCTAATACGATATAATCTCTAGTCAATGGGCTTCCCTACCGGCGATCGCTACAAAGGCACAATCGAACAAAAAGAACGCCTTGAACGGGGGTACCTGCGCAAAGCGCAATTCATGAGCGAGAACAAGACCCCCGTCTGGAATGGGGAGTTCGGACCCGTCTACGCAGATCATATTCTTGACTTCGATGCCGAGACTGTTAATCAGGAGCGATACAACCTCCTTGGTGACCAGCTGCGCATCTACGACAAGTATAACATCAGTTGGTCGATCTGGCTCTACAAGGACATTGGTCTGCAGGGTATGATCTACACGAATCCTGAGAGCAAGTGGAACAAGACGCTCAAACCTTTTCTGGACAAGAAGAGAGACTTCTGGCTGGATAAATGGGGCCGTCGGCCTAAGTCTGAGCCCGAGGCGGCTTTGAAGCCTTTGCTCGAGTGGATTGACCGCGTTAGTCCAACTGCGAAGGAAACTTATCCCACGTCGTGGAATACGGAGTTGCATGTCATGCGGAATGTGTTTTACACTTTCTTGGCGGCTTCGTTTGTGGATGAGTTTGCTGAATTGTTTCGAGGAAGCAGTGAGAAGGATCTGGAAGAATTGGCCAGGAGTTTCCACTTTGAGAGTTGCATACAGCGAGAGGGTCTGAATCGTATACTCAAGGATCACGCACATGCATCTCATTGATTCTGAGCAAGAGTCAGCTTGGTATAGCATACTATAATAAATTGGACTTTCACGACTGATTTTGGTGGAGAGGTGATATAAGCAGGGTGTGGCAATAGTATCCGTTTCCGGCGATATTCCGGCTTTTACCTAAATACCACGCACTATTGCTATCCACACACTATCGATAAGCCAGAAAAATCGAAAAAGACGCGGGGCACATTTTCGACTTCGAGGTCGTTAAAGGTTACTAGAGGGATTTGACATGGCTGAATCTCCTGCGTATCCGTCCAGTCTGGACAGCATCTACGATGCCGCATCATCTCTCAAAGACCGCATCGATCCAATCCGATTGACGTCAGACAACATTGTCCCGATCCTCAACCTGCCCCTCACTCATAAGGTGCTGGGCCATGACGCCTCAGAAGAGTCCCTTGCACAGGTTGCAAGCGGCGAGATCTCATATACAACCTTCGTCGCCGATCAGGCCCGCGCCGCGCTCCAGTCTAGCGATGACTTGACTACGGAACAAAAACAATCGCAACTTCTGCATCTTGGACTAGCAGCCTTGTTCAGCTTCCTGCAGTCCAACGTTACCGGTCCTCCCCTCGAATTCAGCTCGGCCGAAGCTGTGCTTCCCTCTGTTCTGCGAACAGAACGGACAACCCTCAAAACCGTGCGGGCAAAGATCATCCGCGATCTAACACTGGATGGAGAAGCTGCTTACAAGCTCACACCCAACCCGGAATTGTTTGCTGTGGCTAAGGCTCTGCTGGCCGATGTGAGCAGTGATGGACCGCTTGTGACAAAGACTGCGCGTATGCGCACCAACTTTCTTCACCAAAAAATGCTTTCGGAGGTCACAAGTACACTCCAGGATGTCATCTACAAGGATGTTGAGATCCTGGACAAGGCTGAGTTGACCTCAGACGAGAGGAGTCGGTTTCTGCTGGAAAAGGCCATTATCCATACACACCATGGATTCGATGCCAAGGCACGGGAAGATATTACTCAGGCGGCCAAGGTGCGGAGGTTCGAGTTTGCGCTGACCGGAAAGATGGGCAAGCGTACAAAGTTCCAAGACCGTGATATTAGTCAGTTGGTCGTGTTGGCTAAGAGTGCCGATGAGACATCACCATCACAATCTTCGGAGCCTTCCGGGCCTAAGAACCTGAACTTGGACGACGACACCCTTCTCGAGGCAATCTCTTTCTCCGACCAAAAGCCCGACGAACAATCCTTGGCAATTCAGGATAAGGTTTCCCCAGCTTTGGATGCTATTGATGCCAACAATCAGCCTATTCTCAACCCCGTTGACTCTGCTCTTCTACTCGCACTGGCATCTGCCATTACTAATACCTCGCCTGAGAATGGCCTCACCCGAGAGGAAACAAACCCCTACGCCATTCGAGTGCTTGATGGTGGTAGCTCCAACTGGCAGATCTATACCCAAGCACTTTTGGTCCGCAGTCGGGTAGAGGGCTACCGTTCCCGTACTGTTGAGAGAGCCGTGCTGCAGATGCAGGCTTTGGTGGATCAGGTCATTGCGGATACCGCAACCAGCGACGACGCAGCTCAGAATGAATCAGGCGACCCTACAACTTTCCTGCCGCGCCCTGAGCAGTCTGAGTCTGCCCCGGCCGCTGACAGACTCGAGCACATCTGGATCCTAGACTTCTCAACAAGATGGAGCCTCGAGGCTGAGCTTGCGAAGCGCTGGGTTGATCTTGGTGGTCTACGCACCGCACTTGAGATCTACGAGAGACTACAAATGTGGGCCGAGGCCGCGCTTTGCTATGCCGCCACCGAGCGCGAGGGCAAGGCGAAGAAACTCATCCGCCGCCAGCTTTACCAGGCCACCGGCCCAGATGAAAATGACGAAAATGAACAATTCGAAGGACCAGAGCGGTCACCACTACCAGCAGATGCCCCACGCTTGCTCTGTATCATGGGAGATATTGACAAGGACGAAAAGATGTACGAGCGCGCCTGGGAAGTCTCCGGGGAACGATACGCCCGCGCCCAGCGGTCCCTGGCCCGCCATTATCTCACCTCCACACCACCGGAATTGGAAAAGGCCGAGATAGCCTATAAAAAGAGTTTGCACATCAACCGCCTGAACCACGGTGCATGGTTCGCTCTCGGCTGCGTGCAGCTCGAGCTCCAGAAATGGGCAGAAGCAACCGACACCTTCACCCGCACCGTCCAACTGGACGATACCGACGGCCAGGCATGGAGTAACCTTGCCGCCGCGATGCTGCGCATGCCCGACTCGGAGCCCGCCCCAGAGATTATCGACAAGGCCACTGGCGAAGTCTCCGCCGCCGAAGTCGACCCCTACAAGCGCAAGCGCGAGGCTCTATCGGCACTCCAGCGCGCAGCGCAACTGAAGGGCACTGACGCCCGCATTTGGGACAACGTCCTGACAGTCGCAGCATCTATCCCGCCCCCGGCAACACCATTCCGCGATGTGATTACCGCGCAGAAGCGCATTATCGAGCTCGTCGGCACAAAGCAGGGCGAAAAGTGCATTGACGTGGCGATCCTGAGCATGCTCGTTGACTTCCTGAACGTGGCGTTCGAGTACGAGGCATTGCTTATCCGCTCTGACGATCCATCCGAAGCCCCGATTGTTCGCACCGGTACTATTCCCGGCCAGATCATCTCGCTGATCGATCAGAATGTCGTCCCGCTTATAACACACTCTGCGGTTCTGTGGCAGATTGTTGCTCGCGTCGAAGTCTTCCGTCATCGGCCGTCTAAGGCGTTCGAAGCTCACGAGAAGGCGTGGCGTGCTGCTGTTGCTGCTAATGCTCAGGGTGCTTTCCAGATGGGTGATGAGAAGCCCTGGCTTGAGATTGTGCGGGCTACAGAGAAACTTGTGAGGGATGGGTATGCTAAGTTTGGTCCTATGGACCGTGAAGATCAGAAGATTGAGGGTGATCATGAGCCTGAGCTTGTTGCGAAAGACTGGCGGTTTAAGGCTCGAAGTGCCGTGAGAGGAATTTTGGGCAAGGGCAAAGAATTCTGGGATGGCACGGAAGGCTGGGACCGCTTGAAGCAGTTGCAGTCTGAGGTTACGGCCAATTAGTACATATATCCCTTGATGCTGTTTATGAATCATATAGATTAGCTCGCTCATATGGCAGGTGCAATGCCTACAAAAGTCATATACCAAGTTCAACATTATTCAAATCTCCTCATCTTGATTGATAAATCAAGGCTATTCAGAGTCACAGCTAGAGTCATAATCTTAGGGAATCATTTTGATTCCAACTTTCTCTTCACCATCCCGCAAAAGCTCTCGAACAAGACGGTGTCTGTCCCCTGGGCCCAGCGAACTAAAACCTTCACCTCTCTCTCGTCCGGTTTCTGTCCCCGGACCAGCCGTATCTGCAGACGTACTCCCAGCGCCATCTGGTCCGGAATCACCTTCAATTTAGCCGCACCCTCCTCACCGGCAAGTTTCATTTTCCGACGTGCGAATCTCGACCATACATTCTCAGAAGCGAATCCCGTCCCGGCAGAACGTGTCTGATCCCAGGCCCAAAACCAAGGCAACGATCTGAGCTCTGCATCTATAGTAGCAGTTGCAGTGTCAATAGACGTGCCAGGTGGTAGAGTGAATGTGTAATCTGCAGGAAAAGGCAAAAGACTCTTCGGGCAGCCGGGGATTCCACGCGCAATATTCTAGAGCAACGATTAGACATGGCGCACAAAACACAGGCGCAAACTGAAGTGGGTTAAAGGTAGCAAAGTAGGACTTACCATGGCAGGCCTTCGGTCTCCCCACGACCACGCCACGGCCCAGCGCTTCGTTTTGCTTCCCTGCTCGAACTCGGTGACGGCGAAATTGGTGATTCCATGCTTGATCAGCATCTCTACGAGTACGTTGATACTGCTCAATTTGCCGAGCATGGATGTGTACCACTGGATGCGGTCACGCAGCTGGAGACTCTCGTCGATCATTTGCTTCACGAAAGCCACTTCTCCTCCGTGAGTCACCATTTCGACTTCTGCGCCGGTGCAGGTCTTCACGTAAGTTAGTACGGTATGGTACGTAAGTGGAATATGGTGGGTGATGTATGGTCGCTTCGCGTTGAGAGTGAAGCAATAACACTCACCGAAAATGGATCTCGTTCTTTCTGCTCAGCAGACTGCTTCAGCTCATTGGGCGAGGCATAAAAGGGTGGGTTGCACATGGTAAAATCAAGGCTGGTTAATGGTCAGGTACTATTCTAGCAAGTCTTAACTGGGGGAGACTCACGTTTGGTGACCTAGCTTTTCTAACGGGAAGAGGGGTCCGTTGGGGTCAGAATTTACAATCTGAATTCGTGATCCGAGATTGTTCAGAGCTACGTTATGCTGGGAGGTGCGGATATTGTTCGAGTCGATGTCTGGTTGGTCAGTGGATGCCGAATATCTTCGGGCTGAAGGACATACCTGTTGCTACAAAGTTCCAGCGCGGCCGTGTCGCGCAGCCCAGAAGTGGGTAGATAGCGATGCATCCCGTTCCGCTTCATTTTGTCAGACATGATCCAGAGATTGGAGGGACTCATTGCTTACATATCGAGGCCGACGACCTCCCGGTCCCGGTCATATTCTTCATGCAGTCCTCCGGCGGTGGAGTCAAGGAGGTCATGTAGCCAGAGGATGTAGTTGAGTCTATGCTACATGTCAGACATGGGTCTAAGCCGTCATTCGGGATGACATACCTATTTGGTACCTAAAATCAAGTCAACACGTGTCCATAAGAATAGTTTTAGTATCTGCATACCGGTGGACACAGTCGATCCTCGGGGATCTCAACTTTCAGGTCAAAATCTTGTTGCAGGAGGGTGGTGGTGAGTTGTCTGCATGATGCAAATCAGATCCACTCCCGAAGTTAGACGTTAGAGTCCTCCAACTTACCGGACGGCCGCTGGATCAGTAAAGTCCAGTTGTCCGTTTGGTTTCAAGCTGTATTCGATTAGCACTTGTCTTTCTGTTAGAACAGAGGCCTTTTCACGTACTGTTTGGCG